GTACATTGTTACAAACATGTTATTGATGATGCCTGTAATTATTATTATTATTATTATTATTACTATCTTCTAAAAACAATGTGTGCATAAAATAATGTAGCATGGCGTGAAGCCAGAAGGGCAGAATGTAAGACGTGGCCCTGTGTGCCTAATTCTTAACCCTTTGAAAAGACAGTTTGTTCGTTCGGTTCGTTCATATTCGTTCTATCTATATATCTATCTATCTATCTATCTATCTATCTATCTATCTATCTATCTAATCTATCTATCTAGCTCATCTATCTATCTATCTATCTATCTATCTATCTATCTATCTTCTGTCTGTCCTGGTCTGTCTGTCCTGTCTGTCGTCTGTCTGTCTGTCTTGTCTGTCTGTCTGTCTGTCTGTCTGTCTGTCTGTCTGTCTGTCTGTCTGTCTGTCTGTCTGTCTGTCTGTCTGTCTGTCTATCTGTCTGTCTACCTATCTATCTGTCTGTCTATCTGTCTGTCTGTCTGTCTATCTGTCTGTATGTCTAGCTGTCTGTCTGTCTGTATGCACTGGTGACTGTGTATAGATGGATGATAGTGTATGGCTGGGTGCATGTCCATGTTTGGGTGTTAGAGTATATGTGTTAGTTAGTGTAAGTATGCGTGTTTTAAAGGTGACTTTATGATTACTTTATTGTGTATTTAAGGATGTTTGTGTGTTATGGATTGGTATGAGTCTGTGCGGGTATCTGGGTCTGTTTAAATGTTTGCTTATGGTTACATGCTTGTGTTTTGTATAAATAAGTTCTCGGGTATGTATGAGATTATATGGGTATGTAAGGGTGTTTAAGGATTTATGGATGTTTGTTTTCGTACGGGTAACTGTATGAAAAGGCGCTTGTGTAAATCTAGGTGTTTGTGTATGTATGAGTGCCTGTATTTACTGGTGTCTGGCGGTTATACAAATGTCAGTGTAAGCATGTATATGTATTCAGGTGTGAGTATGTTTGGGTATTTGTGAATGCGTTTGCATGCACGAGTCTATGCATGTGGATATATTAGTGTGGGTGTCTGTATGAATGTGTATAAATATATCAGTATATGTGTGCAAATGATTGCATGTGTGTGTATGTGGATGCACGTATTGTGTATGTATGAGTGCATGTGTGTATAAAGGAGTTTGTGCAGGTGTGTATGAGTGTGTATGAGATTGAGAACATGCGTTTGTAAGCATAGATGTAGGTAATTGTATTTATCTGTATGAGCATGAGAGTATGTATTCGTATGAGTATTACATATTTGAGTGTGTGTATGTACATGTATGAATGTGATGGTGTTTGTATATGTATGGGTATATAAAAGTGTATGTGTACGTGTATATTCGGAGTGTGTATGACTGTGTATGCAAGATGCGTGTATGCATTATGTCGTTATGTGTATTGTTTTTACAAACATAGCATGCAATATTGATAGCATGCAGCTGTGGCCTGAAAGATGAGTGCTTGGAAGGGCCGATTGTAATTTGTGCGTCTGCCCTCCTGTATGTAAATAAATATGGTGTCAACTCACCTGTACTGACACACGCTTTAGTCAAACAAATGTCCGATGTCTTGTTCCCTTTAGAAGAGATTTTATTTAAAAAAAAAAAAAAGTTATTTTTTCAAGGATCCAGTGAATTGTCATAAAAGCTAAAACAAATGTGTTTACTACTTTTATGCTGGCTCCTATCCATTGAACGAAACCTTGTTTTGTGTCTGGGTGAACAGGGCATGAAGCCCTGGGTAGAGCTAATGGTTACAGACTGAAAAGAGGAACGTCTTGGGTGGCGCAAGATTAAGACACAGTTAGACATGTGTGCTGGCTTGACAAATGTGATCGAGGAGAGGAGTGGGTGAAAGTGTTCGAACAAGGGTTCTAATTACTTTGGGTCGTGAGTGCAGGGACTAACCAGCTGGTGCTGCAGAATCAGGGTTTCAAGAAATTATTCATGACAATTTTCGCCAAGGAGATGTGATTATCTATAAAGATGGCTGTGTATTGAGGGGTGGACTAAGTGTATGGGGGTTTAAAGCAAAATCAGATAGACTTTGCTTATTAGAACAAAACGTGGCATATGATCTCACAAGGTCTAGTCTGAGAATGGAGGTGGAGGTAGTCACTGCTGCCTTTCGCTGGTTACAGGTTGCCGGTGTGTTGTTTCCTTTCTGGCTTGTCTAGCATTTACGTTTTTCCATCTAGAAAGAGATTGCCTGAGATATAGGTTGCATCACTCTATGTGTGGGAAGGGGGGGGAAGAGGTTTTGTGTGTTAGACCCAGTTTCTAAATGGTTTTATCGTGTTTAAAGCGCTGGCGTGCTTAAATATACAACACGCGATGACAACTGCATTGCTGAAAACCTACGTAGCAGAGTGCGAAGGTCGGCTGACTAAAGGTCGACCAATCTGAAGTGTGCTAGTTTATATGGGCGGTCGGTGGGGAGATTATGGTGGAACTGACCCACACGTTTTCCGACTCAAATACATACTAGCTGACCTTTCACTCATGCCACTCGTGTGACACGTGAGCAAGCATGACTGAATGGTCAACTAGTGTGTATTTGGGCCGGAAAATGTAAAGGGAACCCTGGGTGTGTATAAATGACTATACTAGAAAACACCAGCAGTAGGCAGGCACAGAGTATCGTGTCCTTGTAGCTACGTGCGTATATTCACATCGTAAGTTGACAGTGGGCACGAGAGAGAGAGAGAGAGAGAGAGAGAGAGAGAGAGAGAGAGAGAGAGAGAGACAGACAGAGACATAGAGACAGAGAAAGAGAAATGAAGAGAGAGGGAAGGAGACAGACGCACAGAGTGAGGAGAGAGAAACAGAGTGAACAGTTTAGGCGCGCTGACATAACAAATATGGGAGTAAGGAGGGCGGAGAGCTCTCAGACTTTACCAATTATCTAGGGTATGAGCGAGAATGTCAAGAGACCTATGTCTGTGTTAGGTGCGTACTATTAAAAATGTGCTCCGTCAAAAATAAACATAATAGTACAGTAGTACTTCTATAAGTTGACCAGCCTACGGACTGCAGGAAACCAGTCAACCTTCGTAAGTAGCCAGCATAAGAAAGATTCTATTGTACTGAGACTATACTTTCTTAAAAACTAATATTGGAGTATCCTGTAGCATAGGAAAGAATCAAAGCGACCTATCAAATTAAATCAGCAACAATATTTTGTGGGTGTGCTCAACCTTCTCTGAGTGTTTTTCAGGAGGGAAGAAAATGCTGGTTTGAACAAACAGGAAAAATACTTACACCGTAACTGGTTTCTAAAGTGCAGATCTCTGGTAAAAGCTACAACGATAAAAGTGACACACAGGAGAAACAGAAATGTGCTGAGGAGCATCAGACATTTCTCTTTGCCGCTCCATCTATTCCACGCTGTCCTTGACGTCTGTCCATCAGGTTTTGGCAAAAACCTAATCTGAATAGAGAGATACAAATATTTGTTAGTATTGTACTCTAGTCCTACTTGCCTTCACTAAAGCTAACGTATTATAGTTGGTTTTAGAAGTCGTGCCCAACGTTTAAAATGTGTAACTCAGCAACCGTTTGGTGCAGGTTCAATACTGTGTATGCAACTTTTTAATAATCTTGTTCTTGTAAAACATATTTTTTTTTATGTCAACACCCATGTAGTTTAAATTGTGCCTTATTTGCTTCATGTAAAGGGAAACAAATTAGACACCATTTCAAAGAAAACATCCAGAATGCTTACAGTTAACTGAGCAACAAGAACGTCCAAATTATCAAATTTCACGCGGATTCGTAAACGTTTCACTCTCAAGGGGTAATCTCCAGCCTTTAGTCTCCTGTGAGTTAAACGCATTTTTTTTCATTTTACGTTAAATAAGCTATCAAAAAATCACCACCGTCGCTACACATGTGACCTCTTTACAGGATTTATCAGGAAAAGTGTTAGAGTTTGAGTGTATACTTTTGAAGCATACTATAACCACATCATGTGTAGGGAGTTCGTATCAAAAACGAATGGACGTCGCTTAGTGCAACAAAGCCTGGCATATGATAGTTTGAGAACGGATGTGGGGGCAGTAATTTCTGCATTCCGCTGGTCTGAGAATCATCTGACCACACAGAGCATGTCGAGAAAGATGGAAACAGGTATAATCCGTACAGAATGACTAGCATCTCGTAATGTAATAAGTGAAATTACTCAAATTTTACTCAAGAATACCTTATGGTTCCACTAATCAATTGATATTTTTTTTTTTTTTTTGGTTCTTTTTTCAATCTAGGTCATGATAATTTTTAGGCATACGGCTTTTCTCGGGAGTAAAGTGTGTTTCCTCCTCTTTCGATGATCAATGACTGGCATCTCGTGGGCATGGATGCGATCATATATCTAATTTGGGCCTGTGGGATGGCTGCCTGCTCTTCCTGAATTGCCTGGAACAGATCACGACCATTGGCTGGAGCAACGTTTCGGCGACAAACACGTCTTCACAGCTCATTCCGCCGGTGCTCAATGGGACTCATGTCTGCAGACATAGATGGCCAGGGAAGGTTTTGAATGTTACTGGCAGCCAGGAACTGGGTGATCAACAGTGCAGATCGGATCTGGCGTTGACCTGTTGAAAAGATACCTATCAGAATCCCAAAATGGAATGGCATGTGGTCGAAGCATTTCATTGATTTATCGCTGGGCATTCAAGCTTCCTTCAGTGTGCACAAATTGACTCCTTTTATTGTAACTGATAAATCTCCACACCATTATACCTACACCATCATCAACGCAATTGTGGGCTCAATCTTCATTGTGTCTACGGATGACCCTACGCCGTCTATCATGATGCTGTAACAAAAAGACAGATTCGTCACTTAACCAGACACGTCTCCTGTGATTGTGACCTGCCCAGGGACGATGTTGGTTGGCCCAAAGAAGTCGATTTTGGCGTTGGTGACGCAGACAGGTCCTCGGTGTAGTCGTCGTACCCAAAGTCCAACATCATGCAGTCGACATGTGTCTACTGCTTATAACCATAAATGCCATAAATCAGACGACTATGGTCTCAAAATGTAGCACTGTGATTAGGCATAGTAACGTTTTCAGAAAGTATTTGTGGTTCATTATCAAGTGGAAGTAAAGTAACACTTTTTAATCCTATTAGTTATAGAGCAAACCACGCTAGACTGTCAAATTTATAGTCATTTGTTGATAAGGCATTCTTGACCCCCCCCCCTTCCCCCCCCCCCCCATTTTAATTTAGAGTGGTACCTACGCATTTATATAAATAAATAGGGTTGTTCGTTTGTTCCTAATAGTTTATCTTCGAAAGTTTTCACCGATTTTCTTGAAATGTTCACACACCGATGCATTCGACTGCGCACGTTTTTTTTTTTTTTTACCTACTATTATATGAGATCACACGTGTGACTTTAACAAAATGCTTTTACCTTTCCAAGCGAGCCACCAGATGATCTAGATCTCTGATCTAAAAATAGCCGCTAAGTCATTTGGACCCTTGACCCCCAAGCACGTGACGGCCAAAAATACCAAACTGGAACTGTTCCACTTACGATCAAATACTGCAGCCCGTTCGTTATTTGGTTTCGACATTGCTACTAGGTGGAAGAGCTGCCATTTGTTCGACGTTAAAGAGCACACGCTATGTATATATAAAATTGTTTTTGGGGTTTCTTACTAATTGTAAATCTCCGAAGGTTTTTCAGTGATTGCTTTGAAATTTTCACACAACGTTGAATTCTAATAAATGCGTGTTGTGAAGATAAGATTATCCCACAAAGCGCGAAGTACATAGCTCTACCGACGATGATATCAGCATCCTGGTTTTGTTTTCCGACTATCTGTTTCTTACGTTCCCGGCTCGTGTTTTTCTTTCCGCTGATGTGTGAACTATGCATTTTAACCTAGGAAATCTGCATCAAACTGTATGAGATAATAGACTACTTCGTTATTGGGACAAAGAATTGTTGAAAAATGTATGGAAATGTAAAACTATAAAAAAAAAATAAGGGGAATTAAAAGTTGTGGGAATAAAAAGAGATTTGTTTAAAGACTGTAGGGGAATGAAACAGTGATTAGTAGGGACTATTATCAGAGCATTCCGGACAGATCCAGAGGTGCGGAAATCTTTTCCTCGAAAGCTCCACAAACGCTAAACCACTAATGGAGCACTGTTCTGCAGTGATCAGGCAGACGATTCTAGTGAAATATTATTGTCTGGCTGCTCCAAGTTGTATTTGCTTACCCACCACCCTTGACACGATCTTTTTCGCGATATGCATCTCACTTGACAATAATGACATCACTACTGTCCATGTCGGGAAAGTTACAATACCCACAAGAGTAATATTTTCATCGTAGCAGTAGTGGCAATGGTAGCAGTATAGTAGTAGTCATGCTAGAGACCGGGGTAAAATGATGAAGTTTTTCTGAAGAAAGGGGGAGGGGGTGGAAATTAAACTTCCTTTCCCCAACAGTCTGTAGTGACAGCATTAGCCCTAAATCCTCAAGCTCACGAATTCCATGGTCCGACCTGGGTGATGACACCCAGGCCACTGACTCTCCTGGTGCGCTAAAAGGACGTTTGGCTTTGCAACAGCTAATGTGAGATTTGGTATTTTATATATTGTCGCTGCGGTAGCAAATTAGCCGACTACCTTCATGACTAGAGTGACAGGCTTACGCTTGGCTTATCGAACAGACCCTTTTGCAGTTGGCAGATTGACACTGACAGACTTTAATCAGAGACCTTGGCTTTAAACGGTTATAAAGTCTTTTCTGCTAGGGGATCGTACCAGTCTACTGAGGTTTTTTTTTACCCACGTTCCGTTGCGTTCACAGCTCTTTCGCCCGCTTCACACAGCTGTTACAGTGTCAGTTTCCTTTCCTCTCTTCTCATTGCAAGTGGAGATGAGTCCTCCTGCGCCTACTTCGCCTTCGAAGTTATACTATGTACGCGTCATTTCTCCTCAGACCGGCGACCAGTTAACTGTACTTTTCGAGCTTGTACGTTTGATTTTTTATCATTCGCTTTTGCTATCTTGTGCACTTAGCCAGTACGGTACACTGTTTAGCATTCACATATTACATAGTTGTTAGTTACATTTCATTGTTTATAGACAAAGAACTAAAAAAGAACATAAAAAGTTCTTTAGAAACCAATTCCAGTTCGACTGAGCCTTGTTCGAGCAACCGACGTCTGGGACTCTGGTTGTCAGTAAAGAGGAGTTAGAGTCGCATCTACGGAAGATGTACTCAGACGGGAAAATGAACGAACCTCTTGCTGACAACTCAGAGATCACAAACGGCCTGCTGCGGCCGGAGTTGCCGAAAGTGAAATTTAAGACGATGCCGCCCTCCTGGCCCGAAGAAGAAGACGTTGTGAAAAGAGCTAGCGGCAAATCTGCCCCAAGACCTAATTGTCTCCTGTACTCTGTGTATACACACTGCCCGAAAGTCCTCAGAATGCTTTATCGCTTGCTAGGATTAGCGTAGAGCAAAAAGCACATATGTACGGAGTGGCACCAAGCCAACGGAGTGTACTTAAAGGAGTAAGACTCCACCAGCCTATCCCAATACAGGCCCATTTCGTTGTTAAATGTCGAGGGAAAGATACTCTTCTCGGTTATGGCGCGCAGGTTAACACAGTACTTAATGGATAACAAGTACATAGACACAACGGTGCAGAAAGGGCGTTACCGGGTGTCTAGAGCACTCGCCCACTTTTTGGGAGAGCATCCAGAGAGCCCAGGCAGGGAGAAATGAATTACAGGTGATAAGGTTGGACCTCGCGATTGCTTATGGGTTTGCCACGCCCTACGCGTGTTTCATCAAGCGCAGCAGGAGATTTACTGGGGCCTGGCTTCATGAATTAGGTTGGCCCAACATTTGAGATTGTTTAGGATTATAACAGGCCCAAACAATTGTCGACGTAGGACATTCTACTGAGACCGGTAGGCTTCTGCTGTGTATGCTCCCCTGTGGAGTTTCCTTTTGATTATTTACATCAAGAGATGACTTGGGTAAGTCAACTCTTAATTTTTCCTTAATAACCTTCACTGTCTTATTACTGATGACTGGTAGACGCCTGCCGTACATTATACTCCCCTGTGGAGCTTTCTTACTGGGCGAGCCTAGTCCACAGACAACTAGGATAGACTGGTCACACCATGGATAGACTGGCGCCCCGGCAGTGCCGTGGTGAAAACTGACCCCTTCGGTCGACTGAGGATCGGGCTGATCACCCCTAACTAAGTATAAATAACAGATTTGTACAAGCTATAACGAAAGATGCTCTAGGGTACTCAGAAAGGCAAGGGGGGGGGGGGGGGGAGGGAATCAAGAACTAAATTCAAATGATACCAATGGTGACGATAATGCCAGTCCCCAGATCCTGATTTCTGCCCATCGACCGGGCTGAACATGCACATGCGGAAAAA